AGGGCTGGGCCAGGCCCAAACAGGATGAGCCAGAGCTTCTTGGGTGGCCACGGTGCACCTAGGATCATGATGGCCTGCCAAGGGCACATAGGATCTGGTGGAAGGCATTTGCCCTGACTATGCCTGGAACTTCTATCTGTGATAGCGTGAACTTCCCTAGAGCGCAGACTCTAGATGATCCCAGCATCATTCCCTGCAAAGGGTCCCGCACAGCAACCCCGTGGGCATCCCTTGCAGCCCAACTTCGGCTGGGAAGAACTGCCTCTATGGTGCCTTCACGGCTTAGTGTTCATTTACTTGGATGATCTCTACATCTGAAGATTTAAAAATGTTTCCTCATCAAATATTTTACTATTTTGTTAGATTTATTCAAATGATAAACAATTTTTTCTTCCAAATATATATGGCATATTTTTAAGTATGTATGGTGTTTGTTGACAAACTTCCTACACTTTGATATTTTTTATTCCTTGAATATTCTTGAGCTATAGCTTAGTTAATTCTAATTCTTTCTAGTCTGCTATTGAAAATGTTGTAGAAAATGTAGTTGAGGACAATAAATTTTCCTTTGAGTACAGCTTTGGCAGAATTTCATAAACATCTACAGACATTGTTTTATTGCTTTTTTAATCATTTGCAATTGAAATTTTGACTTTCTTTTGTTTTCTAAGTTATCAAACTACCCAGTTTTTATGAAGTGAAAAATACCACATTTCAGAAATACCATGTTATCCAACCACTTAGTTTATCCTTAGAAGGACAAGTCTTACTGCATTTCTACCATAAAGGACAAGAGATTGCTTCTAGAAAGCAAAATTCTTCCATTTTTCTCCTTTGTATTCTGAGTAGAAATCTACCTTCTCAGCTTACCAGAACTTTTCTAGTTTTACTCTCTCAATATATCCTATATAAACAAACGGCACTTCGCTATTTTTTTTAATAGGCTCACATCAATATCATACAGAAAAGGAATAACTCAGTATTATTTTCTACCTCTTAGCTATTTAAAAGGCTTATATTAAATATAAATCATTAGTTTTGAAATTTATTATTATGTTCAGTTTCTACAAATAAAAAGTTTTGTTAAAAACTGTGTTAAAAACACTGATCCTTACCCAAAAGTTGAGTTCAGATATTCCAAGTTTATGAATTTTATATCTCTTTAGAATTATCACCTGAAATTCATTTAACAAATAAATGAAATCAATAACTTTAACATTTATATTTTATATGAATGGTACACTTTAAACATGACATAGCCCCACCCTTCTGTATCAACTGCCACCAGCCATTATCCTTCTCAGCTGTTGACTTTTCTGATCAGTGACATAAGAATGTCCTTAAAGTGAGAGTGAGGCGCTCTGGGTGCTTGCCTCTTGAATCAAGTTAACACCTCACTGAGTTATACTGAGTATTTTTTAGAGGGTAACTCCTCTGGAAATGTGGATGGCATGTGGGTATTGCCATCTTGTGATGCTGAAAATTTTGACACACTGTTGAAAACAGAAAGGATATTTTGGGCAGGGGAGAGGGAGTGAAGAGATTCAGTACTTTGAGGCAAAAAGTATACAGGAAAGTCTGGGGAGATGGCTCAGTAGAATAAGCGCTTTCCTGGCAAGTGCAGGGTCCTGAGTTCAATCCCCAGTTCCACAAAAAAAAAGTATGAAGGAAGTAAAAATGTTAAAACCTAGAACAATGGCAAAATATTTAATCAGTCCGCCACACAAGGCAAGTGCTATATATACTCAAATTAGTGTCACTCCATGACAGTAAGGTACATTAGGAGGCCACACACTTATTCTAATTATTCTGCCATTGCTCAAAATAGCTTGGAACTGCACTTTCTAAACTGTCTTCAAGGATAACTCAGTTGTCCATAAATGAAAATCAGTCCAACCATTCATTTTGATCCAGTCCAATCATTCACTTTATTTATAAGATTTGGGCCAATCTCAGATGTTAAATCCAACCTGAAATGATGGAGATTTGACATCATGGAGAAAACTCAAAAGGGTGTCACAAAGTCTATAAAAAAATCTAAGGAGTTCCACAGATATTCTGGGCACTGCAATAGATAGTCTACTAAAGTGACTTAAGAGAAAAGAAACCATTTTATTATGAATTAAGGATCTTCTAGAGGTTACATTTTTAAAGTAGATCTCAATACCTTATGATCACTTTAAAAATAGTTACTTGGGTGTTGATTTTAAAAGGATAACTGTGCGCTGCCCTATTTTTTCAAGGATATGGTAGAAAAAAATCTTCCTCTGAAAAACTTTTTTCATGTGAATAATCAGGAAATGGCCATGTTTATTTTTTTATACTTGTACCAGACATGCAAATCTCTCTCTCTCTTTTTTTTTTTTTTTTTGCGGAACCAGGGATTGAACTCAGGTCCTTGTGCTTGCCAGGCAAGCGCTTATTCTACTGAGCCATTTCCCTGACCCTGCAAATCTCCTTTTAACAGGGGAAAAATACCTTCATGGGCTTAACAAGCACTTACCCATGTCATTAACAAAGATGAAGAATAATAAGAAGATAAGTACATTGGATTTCCAAACATCAAAATACAACAGAGGAGAACTGAAACCTGAAAAATAAAAAGGACATTTATTTCACAGTTATTACATAGCATAATGAATTCTTTGGAGGCATACAGTCATTTCTAACAGAAATGTTATCTGCATAGAGAAAATTAATGGCCTTCACCCATGGAATTTCAAGTCACTTTCAATTTCTAAGTATTAAAATTCAAGATCGTAAGTTCACATAGCACAATTAAATTTTTTTCTCTGCTACTTGGACAAAGAAAAGTTATAAAAATTGTATTATTTCTATTGCTCAAATAACAAAATAAGGCTGGCCACATAGGTCAGGATTAAAGCACCTGCAAGCAGGTGCAGGGGTTAGGTGTTTGATCCCTGGGCTTGCTGTCTTGGCCCCCGGGGCGTGCTGAAACAGCAGTTAAGACTGGGTGTGGTGACCCATGCCTGTAATCTCTGCACTT